GGGTGAGGTGGGGGGGTGAGGTGGGGGTTAAACCCCTGACACCCGTCATTCGGAGACAGTAAAAATATCCAGAGCAGTGGAGACACTTTGCGTTAGCTGTCGTTAGCTCACATGCTAACGGCTCCACAGCATCAGGAGGACGAGGTCCAGAGCCTGGAGGTTTTCAACCTTCAACCTCATGATCCACAACATACACATTATCGTCTGACATCATCCCACAGCCCTGGATTCACCGACCAATCATCTTTATTAATGTCACCGTAGTCAGAGGTCAGAGGTCAGAGGCCGTCTACCACATGTCAACAAACCACCAATGACACGTTGGTCCTAACCGCGTCATCATCAGCAAACACCCCCCCCTGCTGGACACTGGAGGAAGTGTTTTAGCTCCGCCTCCTCAGGTCTCAGTCGTCCTCTTTTCATTCGTCAAAAACATCAAAAACGACACCACGGTACATAGTTTTCACAGGTCATGCGAAACGACAGCAGCCGGAACTGAGGAACAATAAAAAAGAAAGATGGCCGACTGCCTTTGATCTCCTTAAATACTGAGGAAAACAAAACCGCTACGCTCGCATTTTTTAAATACAGATCAGCGTCTGTGCTAGCCGGGTTAGCAGAGATGCTAGGTCTATCACCGTTGATCTGCTTCCTCACAGGTTGTTAGAGTGGTGACATCACAGGCGATGACAAAGTTATGGTTTTTCCACCTCTCGCTCTTGGTCGTTGTGAGAACAGAAACTTCAAAGGGTGGAAGAAACGAAGGGAAGGAAAAGCATCCAGGACAGAAGAAGAAGAAGAAGAAGAAGAAGAACTAAGTTCTGGGTGTTCCTCTTCTGGGTTCTCAGGAGTTCTACTGCTAAAAAAGGTGTTCCACGCCGGGACAACACCGAGGCCCAGAGCTGGGCTATACCATCCTGGAGTTGGATTCTGAGGAGAAGTGTCCCAGGTTCTGTTTCTGTCGCCGCCCCCTGTTGTTCTTCGGACATTTCCTGTCAAGACAGAGAGAAAAGATCTCATCATCGTCAGAACTTCGTTACTCTCCTGGGAATATTTTATTCCGGTTGGTCAATGCTAAAGCACGACTCATTCTCAATGAGCAACGCTGCCCCCTGTCAGTGAGGTGACCATCCAGTAGGGGGCAGCACCAGAGGGGGCCGTTGGCTGTCTGATTTACCTGGTGATGCACATGACCACGGCCACGATGATGGAGATTTGGACGGCGCCGATGATGGCGGCGATGAGGACGTAGTGAAGCTTCTGTCCACTGGGGACAACGTAGAGGATGTTAAAGTCCTGAGGTTCATCGCACTGTTGACCTTTGTACCCAGGGTCACATCTGACACAAACAGGAAGTGAGGCATGAAAGTTAGTGTCTCATCCGTATGCAACAAACTCACGGATGGCTAAAATGAGCAGATTGGCTAATTACGAAAAACATTTAGCGCCTAAAGAGCTAACAGTTAGCTAAGGAGAAAACCAGCGCGGGAATATCTCTACTCTAAACACTCAGCCAACCAGAGCAACTTCAGTTCGACAAAAGAAGCAGAAATGAAGCGACTACGTCAAAAAACGGCTTCTTGAGAACTGTATGTAACCCCACTGACCTGCAGGTGGCAGTGTTGTGTTTCATCTCACATTTTCCATGGACGCAGAAAGTGTTGGCGCATGGAATTGGCATCTGAGCGTAGAAATCGTCGCTGTGATCCACTCCAGTTTTCTCTAGAAAAAGAGGAAAAGAAATCGTAGTTACGATGAGACGTGGACGTGTCCTAGCCGTGTCCTAGCCGTGTCCGAGCTGCAGAGACGTTGTTTACCTAAGATGTTGACCTTGAAGTGACTGCTGTCGTCTTTCTTCCCCAGCTTCTCTTTGTCAGCTGTGGGGGAGACCAGAGGTGAGACCAGAGGAGAGACCAGACCAGTGGTCGTTGATCCACCGAGTTCCTCTCAGTGACATCACTGTGTGAAGTCCTTTGTTCAGACTTAACTCAGTGACACAAAGTGACCACAGGAGGCAGCAGAGGACCAACAATCAATGACTTTTTCCATGGACTTCTGACTGTGTTGGTGTCTGTGTTGTTTTCTCTACAGAAGGTCATGTGACCTGATCAGTCTCACCGCTGCACGGCCCCAGGTGTTTGACGTCGATCTGCTCCTGCTTCATACACGCCGCCCCCCTCACCAGACACGGGTTGTTGTAGGAGTTCCCGTCGGTGGCACAGACGGGGTTTTCATTGTGACCACTGCAGTCGATGTTACAGATGCACCTGGGGGGGGCGGTAGACGGGGGGGGGGCAGAAATACCTGTGTTGAATGCATGCTAGCCTTTAGCTAGCTGTTTTTGCCATCACCCTCCTGTTTAGTTTTTGCCTATTTTGCTGCTAAGCTAGCGAGCTAACACTTCGCTCTCATATGTAACGTCAGACCCTCACCACACGTCCTCCGAGTCCTCGTCACACTCGGCTCCATATTTGCAGGTGCTGCATTTGGTGAACTTCTTCCCGACGTCGGCGCCTGAACTTTCATCATCTGCTGGAAAGAAAACCGAAAAGCCAACAGTCACAACCAGGAGCACCACCTAGTGGCCGCTGCGTTCCTCTGTTCATCAATGCTAACAAGTAGCTCTGCTGCTAACAGCCCCAAAACCATCAGGAGTGAGAGGTCAGGGGTCAGTGGTTCACAGCAGCTCTGTGGGCGATTGATCAGGCCTTGGATGTGACCACCTTGAGGGGTCGTAGGGGGGAGCGGGGGGGGGAGCGGGAGGGGGGGGACATCGATCGACCAGGATCTGCAGCAGAGCTTCTTTGTTTCTTTGCTGACTCTACATGTGTGTGTGTGTGTGTGTGTGTACACAGAAGCAGCAGTGGTCGAGGAGATGAAGACCAGGACAGAACTCACCGTCTCCGTCTCCGTCTCCGTCTCCTGAACCTGATCCTGGATCTGTGAAAACAGGAGTGAAAATAAATAAATAAAAACATCTTGAAATGAAGAATCAAAACCTGTAAAAGGTGTGTGTGTGTGTGTGTGTGTGTGTGTGTGTGTGTCACCAGCAGAGCAGGGACCGTCCGTCACTCTGGAGATCAGTCTCTGTTGTTTACAGGACGCCTGTCTCCTGTAACACTCGTTCTGGTACGTGTCTCCGTTGGACCCACAGACGGGGACGTAGTTCTTATGACACTGGAAGACAGAGAGGGAGGAGTCTACAGTGACCAGTCTACACTGACCAGTCTACAGTGACCAGGCTACAGTGACCTCTCTACAGTGACCAGTCTACGGTGACCAGTCTCCAGTGACCAGTCTACGGTGACCAGTCTCCAGTGACCAGTCTACAGTGACTAGTCTACAGTGACCAGGCTACAGTGACCTCTCTACGGTGACCAGTCTACAGTGACCTCTCTACGGTGACCAGTCTACAGGGACCTCTCTGACACACTGGGCAGTCTGTAGCTTCAACCCCCTGCGGGTCTCTGATGGAGGTTCATCAAAGCAACCAAACTGGGGGAGGAGGACTGAGTGGAGACACAGGCTCTCTGACACACTGGTCAGTCTGTAGCTTCAACCCCCTGCTGGTCACTGATGGAGGTTCATCAAAGAAACCAAACTGGGGGAGGAGGACTTTTTTTTCTCAGATTTTTTTTTTCTCTGATTTGTTTTTTCTCTTCTGCCTTTTTCCTGAAAGATAAAGGAGTTCCAGTGAGGAGTGAAGAGTGAAGACGGTCGGAGAAAGATGAGAGAATCCAAAAATAAAAGCCTCTCCTCTGGTTCTCACTGTCATGAGAACAAATCAATAAACATAAATATTTGAACATCCTGCTGCAGCACGTGAAAGCAGAGACGAGCTGGAGAAGACACTGGACTTCTGAGGGTTAGACAGCAGGGGGCGTCCTGGCCCACCGTAGAGAAGGTGTGAATGTCCACGTGTGAATGTCGGGTCAAAGGAAACTGAAGTCGGATCAGCGGCGAGGACACGGCCGTGTTTTTAGCCGTGTTCGGACAAGGTATGAAGGGTGAGTCAACGGCGCCACCTACCTGAAACTGACAGACGCATTTGAGCTGAGCACCGTCGTCTCTGCAGACACCTCCATACCGACAGGTGGCGTCGTCGCACACTCTGAGATCACTCTTCTTCTCTGAGAGATCTGGAACACAGAGACGTAAAAAAAAGTCAGAACTAATGAACTAATGATGCTCCTTTAGCATAGCCAAGGCTAATGAACAAGCTAACCGTTAGCGATCCAGTAGCAGCAGCGAACACCGTGAAGAACCGTTAGCGATCCAGTAGCAGCAGCGTGAAGATACCCATGAACAACTACTACTTGAGGTGTAGTACTCCAGTATTAACCACTTACTCACCTTGAAGTACGGACACAATTAAACACATGTAATAACACAGTTATGACACTATGAACAAAACATGTGTTAGCAGAGAAATGACGTGAAGTAACAGTGACAAATGGAACTGATTTTCTCCATGGACTCTGGTCTGTTGACTCCTCTGGTCTGTTGTTGACTCTGGTCTGTTGACTCTGGTCTGTTGACTCTGGTCTGTTGTCCTGTACATGGTTCACGGTTCATTTCAAAATAAAAACATTTGACTGACACCAACAACTCGGCAACAATATTTACCAACTAGTCTACTAACACTATCTACTACTACTAACCTACTGACCTACTGACCTACTGACCTCCACTGTCAGTGCTGCTGCTGTTTGTATTGATTGTATTTGACCTCGTCCTGTGTTTTTACTCTACTGATGCTGGAGACAACATTACTACTGTAGTACTACTCTAGTACTACTGTAGTTCTGCTGTAGTTCTGCTGTAGTTCTACTGTAGTTCTACTGTAGTTCTACAGTAGTAGTAGTACAGTAGTTATACTGTAGTACTACTGTAGTACAACTCTAGTTCTGCTGTAGTTCTGCTGTAGTTCTGCTGTAGTTCTGCTGTAGTTCTGCTGTAGTTCTGCTGTAGTTCTACTGTAGTTATACTGTAGTACTACTGTAGAACTACAGTATAACTACTGTACTACTACTACTGTAGAACTACAGTAGTACTACTGTAGTTCTGCTGTAGTTCTGCTGTAGTACTACAGTAGAACTACAGTAGAACCACTGTAGTACTACTCTAGTTCTGCTGTAGTACTACTGTAGTACTACTCTAGTTCCTACTGTAGTACTACTCT